TATTGGTCCAGGAATTAAAGGTGCTCTTTGCAGGGAGAAATGACAGTAGCAGGCAGGATGCTTGCTTTCTACTAAGCAAGCCCTGTCTTCAGCCAGGCAGCCTCTCCCAGCCTCACTAACACAGCCAGCAGCTGGCCTAGTCTGGAGGCGCTCACCTGTCAACTCTCCAGTTCAAGAAAATAGGGCATCAGAGACAGCCTTAGTGTGGCCCCCGCATGAGTGTAAACATCACCAGCTGCCAGAGAGGATGACGTCAAACGCACACTTGGCTGGCTATGGCCTCAGGGATGCTGCTTGCACAGACAGGCTGGTGCAGGGGAAGGGGACATTTCAGTGAGAACCAGCATGTGGGGAAATGCCACTTCAGCATCCTGAGAACACATTTGATGGTTCTGTCTAGCCTCAAGGATAACTTGAAATGTTTCTGCTTTCCAAACCTGCTAAAGCCAGAAATTTTTTAATTATTTTATTTTTATTGACTTGTATTAATTGCAATGGGATTCAAGGTGATATATTCACTCATGCATACCATGTGCACTGATCAACCTCTAGTGATCAATAGTCCCTGTTCAAGTTGTGAAGCTAGAAATGAAATACTTGTTTCTTTTCTTTTGTTGGCTGTTTCAGACAGGGTCTGACTATGTAGCCTTGAATTTGAGATCCTCCAGAGTGCTGGGATTACAGCACTCTGTACCACTGTGCCCAGCTTTTGCTAATCCTTATTTACGGCATCAGAGCAGCATGAACTTGACAGGGCAACCTCTTGGAATTGGAAATCCAACCCATACAGCTCTGAGGCAAGAGAACTGGCCAGAGCCTGACCTTGAGCGATTTCTGCATATTCCAGAGAATCACTTTGATCGCTTGAAAAAGTGGGGAGAACAGTGTTTACCTACAGGATCACAGTTGGGATTAATGCACACTTAGTGAGTGCCTAGAAGGTGCCAGGTGCTGGGGTCACACAGTAAGCAAAACTTGAGTAGCTGCCCCCATGGCATTTGGTGGAGGACGGCAGACACTAATTCCATAAATATTTAATATAACAGATGGTGGGAGTATGATGAAGATGGATAAAGCCCTGTGAGGCAGATAGAGTATCAGGGTAGGGAGGGGTTAGTTTACTTTAGGGTGGTTGGGGAAGGCCTCTTTGATGAGATGACTTTTAAGGCTGGGCATTGTGATTCCCATCTGTAATCTCAGCATTTAGGAGGCTGAGACAGACGAATCATGAGTTCCAAACCAGCCTGACACTCTGTCTCAAAAAACAAAAACAAAAACAAAAGCCAAAATAACAAAAAGAATAACTCTTAAGCCAAAATTTGAGAGCAATAAGGTAACAATTTCATAGGGCTATGTGATGAAAGTTTTTTGGTTTTTTTTTTGTGGTACTGTAGTCTGAACTCAGGGCCTTCACCTTGAGCTACTCCACCAGTACTTTTTGTGATGGGTTTTTTCAAGATTCCTGGGCTGGAGGCCCATGAATTATTTGCCCGGCTGGCTTTGAACCAAGATCCTCCTGATCTCTGCCTCCTGATTAGCTAGGATTATAAGTGTGGACCTCCAGCACCCAGCTTGTGATGGCTTTTTTCAAGATAGGGTCGCTGGAACTATTTGCGGAGGGCTGACTTGGAACCTCAATCCTCCTGATCTCTGCCTCCTGAGTAGCTAGGATTACAGGCGGGAGCTACCAGTGCCCATCTGAAAAAACTCTTGCAGACAAAGAAATGAGCATGTGCAAAGATGCATCCCCGGCCTGTGCAACAAAAGGAAAGGGGCCAATGTCGCTGAGGAGAAGTGAGCAGTGGGTGGAGGTGGGTCAGAGAGGTGGCTAGGGGCAGTTAAGTAGGACCTGGCAGCCTCCTGTAAGGACTTTGACATTTACACTGAGTGTGACAGAAGCCATTGGAGGACTGTGAGCAGAGGAGGGAGGTGACCTGAGTTAAAGGAGACCTCTGAGCTATGCAGAGAATAGACTGTAGGAGGACCAGGCAGCAGGGAGGGAGACTAGGGTGCGGTTGCAAATGCTAGGTGTGAGATGAAAATGCCTTTGACTAAATTGGTAGGAATAGATGGTAAGAACTGGCCAGATTCTGTAGGAAGAGCTGGCAGGATTTGCTCGTGGATTTGATAATGAAATGTGTGTGTGTGTGTGTGTGTGTGTGTGTGTGTGTGTGTTTGGGAGTGGGAGGAGAAGAGTTAAGGATTCCAGAGTGTTTGACTTGAGCAAAGGACCAATCATTTCCTGAGGTGGGGAAGACAATTTATATAAAGTGAATGCTTGGCACATATTTGGGCACACAATAAGTGCTCAGTAAATATTACATTTTTTTTGATGAATGATTTTTGTTTTGTGGACTGTGTAAATTCAGGCATCCAAGGCTTTGCAAGTGCTGAGCACACCTGGCAACAACATCAAACCTGTCATGCCTGAGCAGACTGTGTGCCAATTGCGTGCTAGAATCTACTTAGCAGTGCCACCTGGCAAGGTGTAGAAAAGCCTATGAGAAAAAGAATATTTGCTGAATTTTATCATATTCCAGGCATTGGATGTTTTCATTTAATCCTCTCTCTACCACTAGAATGCAAGCTGTGTGAGATAGAGGAGGAGGAGAGGGAGGAAGAGGAGAAAAAAGAGAGAGAGAGAGAGAGAGAGAGAGAGAGAGAGGACTGGTGTGCACACCTGGCACATAGTAATTACCCTGGTTAATATTTATTAAATGAATCCTCCTTATTGCAGATGGAGGTTGAGTAACTTCCCAAGGTGGAACTAACTTTTTACTTGTTTGTTTTGTTCTCTGTGTGTATGTAGCCCAGGCTGGTCTCGAACTTCAATCCTCCCCGTCCTGAGAGTTGAGATTACAGGTATGCACCACCACACCTGTTTGGAGCTGTGTTTTTGATAAATATCTATTGAAGGAATGAACAAGTGCATATTACATTTCCATTGCAGAGAAGAGAGCATAGCTGGTGGCAGAGCAGAGATTGAAACTCAGGATTTCCTGATCCCTGAGTTTGGACAGTTCCAGTGGTCACGCTGTGGGGCCCTATATACCCTTTGGCTATGTTTGAGGCTGCCTAGGGCATTGGTAATTTGGATCACATCACAGAATGTAAAAAAAAATCAGGCCACTCAGAGAAAGACTGACTGCTGGATCAGCTTGAGAAACTAGTAATGTATGATCCTAATTTTTTGGGTTCACAGAATTGCATGATCGGAAAGCATTTGTTTCATCTAGTTTGACCTAGGTCACATAGGGTGTAAGGGAACAGGGTGTAAGTTCAGTCTTCTCACAACTGAGTCTCTGCCTCTTCTTCCCTGGGAGTTCTTTTTTTCTTCATTTTGGAGGTACTGGGGTTTGAACTCAGGGCCTCATGTTTGCAAGGCAGGCGCTCTACCACTTGACCCACTCCTCCAGTCCTGTTTTTTTCTTTCTTTCTTTCTTTTTTTTGGTGACTGGGGTTTGAACTAAGGGCCTACACCTTGAGTCACTCCAGGCCATTTTTTGGTGGATTTTTTTCGAGATGGAGTCTTTTGAACTATTTGCCTGGGTTGGCTTTGAACCACTATCCTCCTGAGTAGCTAGGATTACAGGTGTGAGTCACTGGTGCCTGGTGTGTGTTGGGTTTTTTTTGAGATAGGGTCTTGTGAACTATTTGCCTGCATTGGCTTTGAACTGCAATCCTCCTGATCACGTCCTGTGGTGTAGCTAGGATTACAGGTGTGAGCAACCAGCGCCCAGCTAATTTTTTTCCTTGACATGGGGTTTTACTATGTTGTCTATCCGGCTCTTGAAAACCTGGGCTCGAGTGACTCTCCCATCTTAGCTTCCCTAGTAGGTGGGACTGCAGGCAGGGATGTACGATCATGCCGGCTTTCCCAGAGGTTCTCAATCTGAGGCACAAGGTCTCCAGATGTACTTTATGGTCACCTCTTTCCCCCACATTGTCTGCTCCATTGAGTGCAAGCATTTAGGTAAGATTTTTGGAAAAATGGTTCAAAGTTTTTATTACATTCCTAAAGGGGGCTATAATCAAAAAAGTTACTATTCTCTTATTTTATGTACATATAGATGTGTATATACATATACACATCCATATATATTTGTTGTCTTGAGACAGAGTCTCAATACATAGTCCAGGTTAGCCTCGAATCCACTATGTAGCCCAGGCTGACCTGCACTTGTGAGCTTCAGCCTCACAAGTGCTGGGATTACAGGCGCGAATCACCATGCTAGGCTCAGATGTCAATTTTTGTTTGTGGAATTTCAAAGGAGAGAAACGCAGTGTGACCACAGGCCAGAAGTTTAGGATGTTGAGTCCACAGTGGAATCCAGATTTTCTGGTAACAATTCCGGGGCTCGTTCTGGTTGAAGTTGTTATTCGTACGTTAGTTCGTTCATCCATCCATCCATCCATTCAGGAAACTGTATTAACCACCTGCTAGGTGTCGGGCACAATTCCAGACCACACTGCTCTCAGAGAACTTTCAGAATGCCGCAATGGCAAACTCTTAGCAAAAACAGGACTTATATTCTAGTGGGAGGAGTCGGACAAAGAATAATAGCCATAAACATGATGGAGTCAGGTCATGAAAACAATAACGCATATTCAGAGGTGGTGAATTTTGGATATTTGGTGGTGGTATTTTGGATAAGTTGGTTTGTGCTTGGGACTTCCAGATGCCGTCTACCGACTCCAACGAGGAGAGCAGTCAGACACCGGGGCGCCCCGCACAAACCTCTTCCCTGGCTTATTCACACCAAGGTGGGACTGCAAGGAGGAGGGAGGGCACACGCATGCGCACAAGGGAGGCCAAAGCCCGAAGGGAGGTGCCGTGCGCATGCTCTCTCTAGCTCGGTGGCTCCCAGGAGTTTGACAAGGACTGGGTCGGATGATAGTGCGCAGGCTCCTCAGCCTGTTAATAAGATTGAGAAGCCGTCGTCCAATAGGAACTTCCTTTTGAGCTCGTGGTCCCGCCCCCCCCGCAGAGGGCTACTTCCGCTTCCGGCGCGCCGCCGGTCCAAATCCAAAATGGCAGCGGCAGCGGTATCTGTGTTCCGGGTTTCTCGACTGCTCGGTCGGTCCCGTCCACAGGTGGGGCGGCCCATGTCGAGTGGTGCCCATGGCGAGGAGGGCTCAGGTACTGTGGCTGGGGTCGGCGGAGTGGGACTCAGCTCCTCTCGGGTGAGGCGGGAAGGGACTGTGACCTTGTGAGGCCGTAGAGCGGGCAGCCCTGTTGTCAGGGCTGAGCGGTTGTGGCTCCTTCGCAGCTCGCATGTGGAAGGCCCTCACCTATTTCGTCGCGCTGCCCGGGGTGGGAGTGAGCATGCTGAATGTTTACCTGAGATCGCACCACGAAGAGCACGAGAGACCCGAGTTCATCGCCTACCCCCATCTCCGCATCAGGTCCAAGGTATGCCCTTGCGGTCCCTTTATGAGAACGTTTTCTTTTCATTTTATATAGCTTAGTACTGGTTCTTTGTGTATTAAAGGCGTATACCAGGCGTGTGAAGTTTCTGGTTTAATCTTCGCAAACAGAACATTTATTTGCTCCATTTTACGGAAGGGAAGCTGAGACTTGGGGGGAGGGTCACGTCTCAGTTATCTTCAAGGTCATACAGTAAGTGCTCTTCAGTTTTCCTTTAATCCGACGCCTCCCACCTCTTACCTTCTGATACAGTTCAGAAACAGTTGTCTTTTGCATAAACTTAGAGGTTCGGGGAACTCAGATTCTGAAGGTGATTCACCTTTCTAAGATCTGGACATCCTTCAGGTACTAGCTGCATAATGAAGAGACTGCCAGCTTCAGTATTCCAGTGCCTATCTTCTCAACTGTCTTATCCTTTGGCTATTCATGTAAATAATTATAATCATTTGTTTTCCACTGCTTGATATATTTTGAACAAGTCTCTTTATTTTGTTTTTTTTGGCATTACTGAGGTGTGAACTCAGAGCCTTCAGCTTGCTAGTCAAGTGACCTATCACTTGAGCCACACCCCCTAGCCTTTATTTATTTATTTTTGCTTTAGTTATTTTTCAGATAGCATCTTGCACTTTTTGCCCAGGCAGGTCTCCAACCTTGATCCTCCTGTCTCCATCTCTGGAGTAGCTGGGTTAATATCCACCATCAGCATGCATCACCACTCCCGGCCCAAAATTTGTATCAGTAGATTTATACTATATACCTTGGTGGTACCTCTAACGTGCCAGGCAAGCACTTCACCACTGAGCTAGCCCCAGCTTCTCTTCGTGTTCTTTAGTAAGTATGATATCACCTAGCTCTTGTTGGAATGGCCTCACGGAAACTTATTGTAGACTTGAATGTGGGAATCTTTGAGCCCCACTTCCATCCTTGCAGTAACATTAGGAGCCAAACAGTGCCAAGGTTTCTCAGCCTCAGCACTGTTAGTGTTTTGGACTTCAGAATTCTTGGGGGATGGTGCTCCCCTGCAGTGGAACCACTGGATGGCATACTTAACCACCCCCCCAATGTCTCCAGATACTGCTTTGTGTCTTCACACTCCCATTACCCTGGGCTGGGCAGGCTGGCAACATTGCTTTAGAGGTAGCAGGCAGAAGGATCGAGGACGGGTTACATTTTCCTGTTCTGGTAATTCTTTTTTTTTTTTTTGTACTGGGGTTTGAACTTAGGGCCTACACCTTGAGCTACTCCACCAGCCCTTTTTTTGTGATGGGTGTTTTCGAGATCAATTCTGTCCAACTGTTTGCCCAGGGCTGGCTTTGAACCATGATCCTCCTGATCTCTGCTGAGTATCAAGGATCACAGGTGTGAACCACTGGTGCCTGGCTGAACAGATTGGTTTTCTAAATCTGGAATGGAGTCCAGCAATCTGTATTTAAATAAATTATCTCCTTCTTTATACCTACCACTGCCATTCTCAGAGATGATTTGAGGATTGCACCTTCATAAACACTGCACTGAATATATTACTTACAAGGGGGCTTATAATGAACCAACTTGAGCTTGATTTTTCTATCTACTTTAAGAATGGTCTCCCTGGTGGTAGTTATAAGAGCTCCTTTAAGTTAGGGAAAGTTGAAATATGCTAGTAGTTAAAGGACTAACTTCCATTTTATTTTATGTTTTATCTGTCACCCTGCTTTAAGCAGCTAATTGGCAGTGTTCTTTCTAAACTATTTGCTGGAATTATCTAATTGACATCTTCACTCCACAGCCCTTTCCCTGGGGAGATGGTAACCATACTCTGTTCCATAATCATCATGTGAATCCGCTTCCAACTGGCTATGAAGATGACTAAAGAGAACCTGGACTATCAGCCAGGCACCAGGGACCACAGCACTGGTTTGGACCATTCCTCTGCATGTGGACCAGAAAAGTGTACGGGACCTTAAGCTCACCTTTCTTTGCTGTATCAAATGACAGTTATACTGATCTTCCATCCCTTTGCTTGTGGCAGGAGATGGCTTAAATAAATAGCTTAAACTTAGATTGGTTATGAGCTGAAAATTGTGTTCTTTGGTGTGGTGTTTTTCCTCAGAAATTAACATTGATATTATTTGCGTTTCTACAGTGAAGGTCTGTGTTGCCATTTGCAGTGTTTCAGTCCACTGAATACTGTTTATAACAGGCTCTTTGGTTTCTTTTGCAGTACTGGAGTTTGAACTCAGAGCCTACACCTTGAACCACTTCACCAGCCCTTTTTTTTGTGTGTTGGGTCTTGAGAACTGTTCGCCCAGGCTGGCTTTAAGCCTCGATCCTCCTATCTCTGCCTCTTTAATAGCTAGAATTAGACATGAGCCATTGGCGTCCGCCTCTCCTTGGTTTTTTATATCTGGGATGTGTAAAGCTGAGGGACCAAGGCAAAGCATAGAATGGTGTAGTTACTTACCAAAGTAAGGGTACCTGACAGACTGGCAGAGTCATTGAATGGCCAGCAGAATGGCTGCAGGTTATACTTGAAAGAGGTACCTGTAATTATTAATAGGAAGTGTTTCCTTTGAGTCTCAGCTTTTTCCTGTCCCTTTCCACAAGCATTTGGTGCACACTCTGCTTGGATAGTGGGATAAATTTTCTCCAAAGGAGTCAAATCTTTAGCTTGAGTTAAGACTTATCTCAGCAACCTGACAGCTGGCAGGGTCAGAAATTTCTACAGAATAAAGGCAGTCAGACACATTTCTGCTTATAATATAGCTTTATTTGTTTCTGAAATGAAAATTACACCATAGCCATATGAATTAGGAGAAACATTAAGTTACAAGATACCCTGAAAGGGCAATTAATTCTGTATCAAGATTGAAAATGTTTAAAGTAGCTTAAGTAGTTGGAGTCACTTTTTGGACAGGATTAAGTCAGAATGAGGAACAATCAGAAGTACTCTCTTGGTAGCAATCTATGATTTCTTTTGGCAGGATGTGGCCATAAAGGAAGCTATTAATAGCTGGTCTTTTCAGGATTAATCAGTAATACATGATATGGTTGAACTTTGGGGTCACATTTAAGCCCCTCCCCCACATACACATAGCATCTTGCTGTTTCCCAGGCTGGCCTTGAACTCCTAGGCTCAAGCAGTTCTCCAACCTCAGTTTAATAGATAGCTGGGAATGCAGATGTGCACCACCATGCCCTGTATAGACTACTATGGAAATAAAATTTAAAAATGATTTTCTTTTTTTATTTTGGTCTTCAGTACTGAGGATTGAACCCAGAACCCCAAGGTTGCTAGGCAAATGATCTGTCACTTGAGCTATACCCCTGCTATTTTTCTGAGATAGGGTCTGGCTAACTTTGTCCAGGCCAGCCTTGAAATTATGATCCTCTTGCCTCCATCTCCTGAGCAAGTGGGATTACAGGTGTGTACCACCCCACCTGGCTAGAGGTCAGGTTTCTTTTTGTGGTTGCACTGGAGTTTGAACTCACGGCCTCACACTTGCTATGCAGGAGCTCTTAGAGCTTGAGTCACTTTGCCAGTTTTTTTGTGATGGGGTTTTTCAAGGTAGAGAGAGTCTCACAAATTATTTGCCCAGGGCTGGCTTCAAACTGCAATCCTCCTAATCTCTGCCCCCTGAGTAGCTAGGATTACAGGCATGAGCCACCAGTACCTGACTAGAGATCAGATATCTAATGGCTACAATATACAACTTAGTTTAAACAAATCTTTACTTTTTCACCTTTAAGTTTTAAAACATACAACTCTGCGGTGTATATATGAGATATGGGGGTGTGGTGGGGTGGTAAAACAAGGTAACAGATGTTCCATAAAGTGCACTGAGTTCCAGGGGCAAATGATAAAAAAAAAAAAACTTACAATTTATTCCATCTTCATGATTATAGACATAGGGCAGAGTCAGCAAACAAGATGAATGAAGCCTGCCCCATCCCTGTTCAACCAGATGTATGTAGCATTTGGCTTTTTTTTTTTTTTTTAATGATATGCAGGTTGACTTAATTCATTAATTTGGGTTGGAGACTGTCAACAGCAGATCTTTGTAATTTAGGCTCTTCCATAGACACTCCAAGTACAATTATTCCTGAACTACATTGTGAGCTATGGAATAGTGTTCACTCTAATGTTTTTGAAGCTTTCACATCTTAATCAGATACCTCCTGTAAGGCAGGGAACTGTTAAAAGCTGTCTTCCGCCTGGCCTAACCCAGGCCACTCATAATCTTAACTGTTATCATATAAAAATAAAACTGCTCCCAAGCATTGGTTGAAACTTGTCCCAGATCCCTTTTTTAGAATATTAGCTCCCTGAGAGAAAAAGAGGTCTTAAGTGACTGCCATCATGAACAATGATCTCATACAGTGTACCTAAAGTCCTTTGCAGCAAAAATCAAGAAGTCAGGCAACCCTGATCATCTTGACTAGTTTATCATAATTAACATACAAGATATATTTAAAGCTGATTCCAGACCAAGTATTGTGACCATAATTCCAAGAAATTGTTCAGTTTTAGCACATTGAGTTCTTGCGAGATGCCACAGCAAGTGAGAAATCATCTCAAAGCAAAGAGTGATCGTTCATCATCTTTTACAATTGATAGGAAAGCATCAAAGTGGGAAAAAACAAACTTCCCTCCTAAACTCATTAAATCTTTTGGCTATCTTCACAACCTAGTTGACAAAATCCACAGTCCTTAATTTTTTGGCAGGAGGAATTCATTTTCAAGGTGACAAGCAAGGTCAAGAGGAGTTTTCATGCTTTTCTTTGCCATGGCCCATGAATTCCAGTCCTTCAATAGGAATCTCTTTCTCCTTTATTGCTTTCTGATGGGAGAAGAAAAGACATTATAAAGGTCTGTAGGAAGTTTGAAGTCCAAACTTTGTAAATGCAATGTGATGGCACAAAAGTAAATCAGATTGAACTATAAAGACAACTGGGGAGGACCCGGGTGGCTCATATCAGAGGATTAAGGTTCTAGGCCAGGCCAGGCAACTAGTTCTGGAGACCCCATCTCTAAAATAACCAGAGCAAAAATGGACAAGAGCTGTGGTTCAAGAAGTAGAGCACCTGCTTGCAAGCGTTCAAACCTTAGTACTACAAAAACAAGAAACAAAAAACAACAACAAAAAAATCCCAGCTCAATCCATGATTCAAATGACGTTTTTTGGTTTTCTTTTTTTTTTTTTTTTGGTTCTGGGGCTTGAAATCGGGACCTTCACTTTGAGCCACTCACTCCACCAGCCCCCATTTTTGTGAAGGTTTTTTTTTTTTTTTTTTGAGATAGGGTCTCGCGGAACTATTTGCCTGGACTGGTTTCAAACCGCGATCCTCCTGATCGCTGCCTTCTTGAGTAGCTAGGATTACAGGCGTGAGCCACGAGCGCCCCGCCAAAAGACATTCCTTTAAGGAACAGAAGTACAAGCGTGAGGCCCTGAGTTCAGCCCGCAGTACTGACAAAAAAAAACCCAAAAAAACAAAAACCAAACTTCAAGCCCGGTTACTGCCTGTTACTGGCTCTGTGAACTTGAGCCAGCCTCACTGTCCTCATCTGTAAATGGGGTAAGCATAGCGACTATCTCCTGGAATTAATTACAGGATGTTTCCAGTTAACTTAGCGGAAGTGCTTTTTCAAGGGCTGTTCTTGCACTTCAAAGCAGTTGCACGTCCATAGAGACAAATCGAAATTTTACCAGCTTCAGTTAGGAATTGGTTGAAAGAAAAACGGTAACGAAGAATACAACAGGGACCCTCCGCCGCGTCTGGGCGGCGACAGAAAGGGAGACATTACGCCCTCTCCCAACAGCAACGGCGAACAAGTGCACCACCGACAGCACAATCAAGGACATTGATTCTCGTGCACTTGAACAAGTAACTTCCCACTTCTGGGTGCCAGTTTTCCATGTATATAATATGAGTAACGATGGCCACTTTCTGAGTTTAGGATGAGTACAAATCAGTGAACATCCTTTGACGTTACTGTGCTCCGTCAAAAGTAAAACTTCGTAAAAACACTTAACTTTGTTAGACTGAGAACCCCGCGGGCGGCCTTGGCGGTGGGGGTGAAGGAGAGGACTGCCTGTCACAGGCCTTGCTGCGGCTCCCCCCACCCCGCGTCCCACCCCCGCCAGATGCTGCGCGTGCGGTGGGAGTCACCGCAGAGCCGCGGGCCTGGGGTAAAAAGGGAGGGCTCGGGCCGCGGTGCACCTGGACACACTGCTGGTAGCGCTTGAAGAGGTCGGTGCACGGGTCCCCGGAGCCGTCCCCCTTGAGGAACTTCTCGGCAAACCACCGGTTGAAGCACTGGTCGTACTCGCGCTTCATATCCGTGCAAGCTTCCCCGACGCTGTTCATGGCGATGGCTGCAGCTACAAAGTCGCGCTCTGATGTCATCACTCTTACGCGCGTCGCCCGACGTTACGTTTGGACGCACTACGGGGGCCGACAAGGGAAGAGATGTGTGCGCGGGTTGTACGGCTGAGCCTCCGCGCCCTGTTGGGCGGGTGCCGGGGCTTCACCTCCAAAGCCGATTCTCAGGTAAATGATGGGCGCATCTAAGCGGGTGGCAGCCAGGCTAGGAGGTGATCGACCCCTGCCCTCGACTTATGCTCCCCGCCTCATCCCCTAGGGAAGCACTCGGGTCACCGCCGAGATGATCGAGCACCTGGAGCGTCTAGCGCTGGTGGACTTCGGCAGCCGCGAGGCGGTGGCGCGGCTGGAAGAAGCCATTGCCTTCGCCGATCGGCTCCGCGCAGTGGACACTGACGGGGTGGAGCCTATGGTGTCGGTACTGGAGGACAGGTAAACTCGCGGCTGCCACGCCCGAAGCCTTGACTGGGGGCGCCTTCGTAGCGAATTAAGGTGACCCATTAGTGTCCCATTTCACGAGGGTCAAAGAGCTCAGTCGGGTGTCTTTACTCTTACCCCTGATCATTACGGATCCTGTCGCTCCCATTTAGAATCCTCGAGCCCTCCCAGTGTCAGTGTAAGTAGGAACAAAAATCCGAACTGCTTGCTAGCCATAACCCTTCTTCAGCCTCGGGAGGCTGAGGCAGGAAGATCAAGAGTAGGAGGCTAGTTGGGCAAAGTTAGTGAGTCCCTACCTCGAAAACAAAATAAAAATAGGGCTGGGGAGTGTGGCTCACTTGCCTGTGCGAGGTCCCGGATTCGGAACATCCCAAGTACAAAAGTGGGTGGGGGACATATTTCACAGTGCCTGCCTACCCACTCGAACTTAACTGTTCGTTTTACCCTCCAGCCACACTGCTTCCCCCAAAAGCCAAGGTCATTCCCTCGCTGGATCTTAATACAAATCTGCTCTTGTTTTCGAAAAGCTTCCTTCCAGCAGATTTGTTTGCTGTTTGAGCTACAGCTTCTTAGGAAGGATGATGGACACTTAGGGGTAAGGACCTAGGGCTGGTGGAGTGGCCTAGGTGGGACGTCCTGAGTTCAAACCTCTGTAACACACACACACACACATACATACATACATACATACATACATACATACCTGACTTAGCCTCATCCCTGCCCACTTCTCCAAGGCTGGATTGATACGTATCTTTCAGTTCCTGAAGCTATCCATGCTTTTTTCAGAATTCTCAGCAGTGCCTCTGCTACCCCATCCCACCAACTCTTTTTTTTTTTTTTGGTGCTGAGATTGAACCCAGGGCCTCGCGCATGCCAGGCAAGCACTCTACCACTGAGCTACATCCCAGCCCTCCACTACTCTTTTTTGCCTAATTTCCTTTCTTCTTCCCATAACAAATGCCACTTGAAATCTTCAGGGTTTTTTTTTTATGGAGTTAGGTTCTCTTTCAGGACTTGTGAAGCTCTCATAATATGCTATACATCTGGTGAGCACATGTATTTATACATCTGTGTGTTTTTTTTGACTCTCTGTCCTGCTTATCCATGTTGTCAGGTAGCATGCTAGATTTTCCTCATGCTTTCAATAGCACTGAACACTCAGTAAATGCTTCTTGAATATTTTATTAATTTCTTTGGGAAAAAGAATAGAGCACAAAGAGGAGTCAGAATTTCCCACATCTTCTAAAGCTTAACTATAAAGAAATACAAAACAAAAAAAAAAGACCTACAAAAGGGCTGGTGGAGTGGCTCAAGCCGTTAAGGGCACCTCCTAGCTAGTGTGAAGCCCAGTGCCACCAAAAAAAGAAATGTGACAGGCACCAGTGGCTCATACCTGCAATCCTAGCTACTTGGGAGGCTGAGATGGGGAGAATCAAGGTTCAAGGCCAGTGCTGGCAAAGTTAGCAAGACCCTATCTCCAAAATAACCATAGCAAAACAGACTAGAGGTGTGGCTCAAGCAGTACAGTATCTACTTTGTGAGTGCCTGCTTTGCAAACACAAAGTTCTGAGTTCAAACCCCAGTTCCAACAACCAAAAGAGAAATTCACCATTACAAAGGGATTTGTGGAAGAGATGACAATGGATTTGGAGCCAGTAGCCAGAATCTCAACCTGGCATTCAGTGATCTGTGCTCTTTCTATAAACTAGGAATCCAGTTTGGGTAAATGACTCCCATTAATTTCTCTCCCCCCTTCCCCCTACTGAAGTTTGAACCCAGGCTCTTGTACTTGTTAGGCGTGTGGTCTACCGCTTGAGCCATATCCCCTGCCCTTTGTGCTCTCACTATTTTTTGAGTAGTGTTTTGCTGTTATGCCTGGGTCTCCTGAACCACTGTCTTATTTATACTTCCCAGGTAGCTGGGATGACAGATGCACGCCACTGCGAGCAACTTTTTATCAGCTGAAATGGAGTCTCGTCAATTTTTGCCCCAGCTAGCCTTGAACTAGAGCTAGTCTTGAACTGAGATCCTCCCAATCTCCACCTTTGGAGTAGCTAGGATTACAGATGTGAGCTACTGCCTGCTAATCATTTTACTATGCCATCTGTGGGAGTTTAATTTTTTTGTTCCTCTTTGTGGTGCCGGGGATTAAACCCAGGGTGTCCTGCATGCTAATACTAGGCAAGCCTTCTACACAGAATCACAACCCTGACCCAGACTTTTAATTTTTTGAACATACTGCTGGACTGAACATGAAACAGAAGCTAGTAAAGACAGGTACTCAGTGATATTAGGCAGTAGCCACGTAGCTGTAAAAGTCCTGACGGGTTTATAGAAATCTTTCAGTACATTAGTAACATACCATTTGGTTTGAGCTAGAAAACTCAAAATACACAATGACTCCTGTTTAAGATGGCCAGAGGCACAAAACATGGAAGGGCTCTCCTGGACAGCTGTGCGTTTGGCAACTACCTGGATGACATCAGGTGCATGACTCAGTATGCTTACTTGTCAGGGACTAAAAATGTGTATGCATGATCATAAAACCCTTGGAAGGCAAGTACGAGTATGTTTTATAAATGGAAGAAACTGAGGCTTAGAATGTCTCAGGTAGTGAGAGTAGAACCCAGGATTTGGAATTCATTACTCTCAAATATTGCTCTAAATGTGCTCTAAAAACCTTATTCATCTCATATCCAGACCCTGACTTAGCTGACATCTCTGCCTGCAGCCAAATACTTGAATGCTTTGGGTGTCCCCAAGCCTTCCTTGAACCAAAACTTTTTTAGTGGTGGTACTGAGATCTGAACTCAGGGCTTCGCACTTGCTAGGCAGGCACTCTACCACTTGAGACACTTAACAGCCCTTTTTGGGTTTCCTATTTTCAAGATAGGGTCTCTGGGGCTGGCTTTGAATCAAGAGCCTCCTGATCTCTACCTCCCAAGTAGCTAGGATTATAGATGTGAGCCACAGGCATCAGCTCAAAAACTCTCTCTCAAGGCAAGCACTCTACTTCTGAGTTGTATCCTCAAACCCAAAAACCAATTAGCTTCTAAGTGGAATTAAGAGTGGTGACCAAACTACAGGAGGGAAGAGGCAGAAAGAAAAGCAGTGGCACACTGTCCCATTAGCCAGTCCAAGATCCGACAAAAAAAAAGCCAGGCATTAGTGGCTCACACATGTAGTCCTAGTTACTTGGGAGGCTAAGCTTGGGAGGATCAGAATTTGAGGCCAGTCTGGGCAGACAGTTTGTGAGACCCCCCCCCAACTCCAAAATAACCAGAGCAAAATGGACTGGAGGTTTGGGTCAAATAGTATAGAGCCTGCTTTGCAAGTGCAAAGCCCCAAAATCAAACTCAGTACCACAAAGAGTAGAAAAAAAATTGACTTGAAGGTCAGTTTGTGAGAGGTCCTAAGTTTGATCCTTAGCACCATTAAAGGAGAGAGAACCTGAAGCACTTGTCCTATTTGGTGTTGTATACATGATTTTGAGGTCCAGGAAAGTTAAGCAATTTGTCAAGTGAAAGATCTGATTAGAGACTCTGGGTTCAGTTGCCTTTGGTGTAGACAAGTTTTATCCTAAAAATACTCCATTATAAATGGTAATTAAGTGGAAATGTAAGGTATTCATCTTAAAGGAGTGAATTTTATTTTTCTGGAAATTTTACTTACATAGGAAACCTGATTACCAAATGAGTGGAAAAAAAAAAAAACAAATCCGTTAAGAAAGTGGCTTTTACAGATACCTTAAAAGCAACTGAAGCCAATAGAAGGGGACCAGGAACTAGAGAAAAGGTTAGATCAAAAAGAATTAACCTAGAAGGTAACACACATGCACAGGAAAGTAATGTGAGTCAACTCCCTGTATAGCTATCCTTATCTCAACTAACAAAAACCCTTGTTCCTTCCTATTATTGCTTATACTCTCTCTTCAACAAAATTAGAGATAAGGGCAGAATAGTTTCTGCTGGGTATCGAGGGGGTGGAGGGGAAAGGGAGGGGGCAGAGTCGGTGGTAAGGGAGGGGATGGGGGCAGGGGGGAGAAATGACCCAAGCATTGTATGCACATATGAATAATAAACAATTTAAAAAAAAGTGGCTTTTATTAATTTTGCAGTACTGGAGTTTGATCTCAGGGCCTTGCACTTGCTGGGTAGGTATTCTACAACTTGAGCCACACCTCCCAGCAATGGCTTTTAAATCCCAGTTGGTGGTAGAAGAGTCTTACTTTTCAGGTTTGAAGCCGGCCCAGGCAAATAGTTTCGAGACCCTATCTCAAAAGAACCCTTCACAAAAAAGGGCTTGTGGAGTGGCTCAAGGTATAGGCCCTGAGTTCAAACCCCAGTACTGCCAAAAAAAAAAAAAAAAAAGTACTACTTTGTCAGACTCTTCAAATGCTAGATTAGATAGGTTTAAGAACATGGCTATCAGACTGGAAGCTATGGCTCAAACAATACAGCACCTGCCTAGCTGGCATGAGGCCCAGAATTTAAACCCCAGTGCTGCCAAAAAAAATGAAAAAAAGATACTTTGAAGACTGAGGTTTACTGACTTTCCGGCAAAAGCATGTGTCTAGAAGCACCCGCCTCTTACCAAGGTGAAAATTCAATGCTGGGCCTGTCAGATTTCTTTCCTTTTATTCTTAGGCAGGGTCTTACTTTGTAGCCCAGGCTGGCCTCAAACGCAGTCCTCCTGCCTCAGCCTGCCAAGTGCTAAGATTACAGGTGTGCATCATCACACCTGGCTCAGATTTTATTTTTTAATACAATTACATTTGATTTTTCCTGTAGTCCTACAGAGTATTCTACAAGTAAGGAAACTGAAAGATGGAGAAGATAAGTAACTATAGCATTGGAATTTGAATTCAGCTGTGACTGGGGAGCCAAAGCACCTTAGCTATTTTGTCATACTGTCCAGCAGAACTAGAAAGTCCACTGGGTACTTTTGCATAGTACAATTACGGATTAATAACCCAGGACCTCAACACGTACTAGCTACCACTGAGCTACACCACGAGCCCCCAAGTTGTCTTAAATGAATGCATAATCCTTGGTTAAAAACACTGACGTATGGGCTGGAGGTGTGACTCAAGCAGTAGAGTGGTTGCCTAGCAAGCACAAGGCTCAGAGTTCAAAGGTATAACCCTCACTTTTTTGGACAAGAAATTCAAGGTCTGGGAAGATTACTCTTCTTCAAGGCCACAGTTAAGACAATGTGGAACCCTGGAACAAACTCCAGCTTTCCATTCTTCATACCACAAATAAATATTTGCTGTGTCTAGTTCTGGGCTAGGTGCCAAGTTTCCTTTATTCCTTCCCTAGAAGAAACTTATAGTGACAACTTAGCCTTCATGTGCAGGCAAGCCTTTGCCCAGGTGTTGATGTCACAGTCCCGCCACTTTGTGATACGATTCAAACCCCCATTAGGTTTAGCTTCAGTCTGTGCCCTACTCAAAGCAGAATGCTTGACTGCTCCCTTCCGACACTGGTTTCAGAGACTGCTTATTTAAGTATCTGCAAACAGGCTGAGACTCTGGTCAGGCACTTTTATACCTTGAAATGAGTGGAGCTTCATGCCAGTGTTCAAGCTCCTGTTTGGCTTCACCAGTTTGCCTTCTTGATATTTAGTGAAGCCCAGAGAACAGTGGGAGATGAGTCATGTTTGTAATACATCTTGCTCAATGGCAGACACTTGGGTATATACCTAGGTGCCTATGGTGAAAAATGCATCCACCTTAAGGATACCAGAAAGAGGTCACACTATGGCCAGTTAGGAGCCAATATCCTTAAGCAAGTTTCCTCCTCCATCTCTACATAGATTTCTAGCTTCCTCTTCTACCCAAGCAGGCCATGCTGCAGCCTGCTGAATCCCCTAAATCTGCTGGGCTCTCTTGCTTTGAGATCTATGCTGCTGTATTTGACATGAAGCCATTTCTCACACCAGCTATTTTCTGCCCATCCTTTAGCAGTGCCATCACCTATTCTGAGTATGTTTCTCACCCAGGATAGGTTAGGTACCCTTGCTAGTAGTTCCTTTGCAGGCTTTATTTACTTCTGTTCCATTTAACACACTTGGCTCATAATTCCCTTTTCATCCATCCTCACCGAAAGTAACCTGTACATAGTAGTCATCCAAAAGTATTCACGAATTTATCAATCCTGAGAAATAATTACCACTTACCTCAGTTGTCAGGAGAATTTACAAACTCTGCCTTGGACCAGTTACCATATCAAGAATCTGCTGCTCTAGGGCTGCTGCTCTAGGGAATGGTGCCAAGTGGTAAAGTCCCTGCCTAGCAAGCACAAGACCCTGAGTTCAAATCCCGGTACCACCAAAAAATAAGTAAGAATACACTGTTCGAGCTGGGAACAGCTCAAGTGATAGAGCCCTTGGGTTCAATCCTCCAGTAACACCAAAAAGAGAGGATGCTGCTCCCTTGTTCTCCCATTCTTGACCCTCTCCCTACAGCCCATCCTATAAGAAGGTAACCCTGCGCTTTTGGGTTTTGTAGATGTCTATACTTGAGATCGGACAATGTAGCAGAAGGCAACTGTGCTGAAGAACTACTACAAAACTCCCAACATGTCGTGGAGGAGTATTTTGTGGCTCCCCCAGGTACGTGGCGAATACTCCAGATAGTCTCTCACAGTGACCTAAGGAAATAGGAACTGTGAGGACAAAGATCCTATGTAAAGGGAAAAGGACAAAGTTCATACAAATGGTGGCATTAAGATGACAGTAGAGTCCAGTCATTAGCAAGGATGAGCAGAGCAGGACTGTGGCATGTACACTGTTGGCAAGTCTGCTTCTCTGCAGGGTTATGAGCCCATTATTGCACAGAATGATATCTAGCATTTTGTGGATACTTTCCAAATTTTAAGTGTTGGCAAGCAATGCAATTTTATTTATTTTGTGGAACTAGGATTTGAACTCAGGGCCTACACCTTGAGCCACTCTGCCAGTCCTTTTTGTGATGGGTTTTTTCAAGATAGGGTTTTGCGAACTGTTTACCCAGGCTGGCTTGGAACTGTGATCCTCCTGATCTCTGCCTCTTGAGTAGCTAGGATCACAGATGTTAGCCACAGGCGCCCGGCCAATTCAAATTTTACCAAGTAACATGCTGTATAGGCCAAATAAAACATACCTGGCAAAACAGATGTGGCCTAGCTAAGGCTTATAATCCCTTACATGTTTAATCTCACTACAATCTTTTTTTGTGGTGTCAGGGGTTGAACCTAGGGCTCTGCACATGGAAGGCAAGTGCTCCACCACTGAACTCCATCCCCAGTAAATATTTATTTTTTTGTTTGCTACTGGGGCTTGAACTCAGGGCCTACACCTTGAGCCACTCCACCAGCCCTTTTTTGATACAGGGTCTCGGGAGCTATTTTCCTGGGCTGGCTTCGAACCAAGATCCTCCTGATCTCTGCCTCCTGAGCAGCTAGGATTACAGGCGTGAGCCACTGGCTCCTGGCACCACTGTAAATATTTTAAATGGAAGTTTTACTCAGAGCTGCTGCACCTTTGGACATTTGGGATTAGAACTAGCCAAAGCACTCTGGGAACTCTTCCACTGCTGACTTGCAGTTAGGCATCTGGGGGAGAAGCATCCCGAGCAGCCTCCATGTAAAACACTGGTGAGCTCAGGAGCTCTTACCTCTTCAATGATCACATCCAAACCAACCAAGAATGGGAAGACAAGCCAACAAACTTGTGAGCCAGACTCTTAAACATGCCTCTGATTCACCCTGGCTAACTGGAAAGAAGATTCTATAATCTTGCCATCTCAGGACCAGAAAGTTGTTGCTGCTTCATCAGACAAATATACTTATCTCCCAAACAAAACTTTGCTTGTTGGGACAAAATGAGTTCATGCCTGTCTTCTACTGTCACCTGCATATGAACAGCTAACTAACTTGCCTTTACCCCTTACTGAAAAGTGTGCATCAATTCAGCTTCTCTTTTAACTGTGATTGTAGGAGCTGTATTTTTCCCACTGTTTTCCATGATAACCAAGCAATCAGTGAGCTCCGCAGAGCCAGCTGGACAGCAGGCTCAGCTCTAACATTCTTTCTTATTGTTTTCAAACAGGTAATATCTCTTTGCCAAAGCTGGGTGAACAAGAGCCTTTTCTACACAGCTGAGTAGCTATTCTGGGAAGGGGGTACCCTGGGAACAGATGGAAGGAAGTGCAATGAGTGTTTTATTACTGTGAACCTTCATGTTCTCAATTCTTTTAGTCACCTGAAAAAACGGATGCTTAAGCATTTCTTACTAACTCTTCTGAAGACAGAACTGGAGAACATCTAGCCCAAACAAGGCAATGAGTTCCTGATGCTAATGGAAATAAAAGGAAAGAGCAAGTGTTAGCTTCCAATGAAAAGGATCAAGTATTTACTTACAGGCCTGTTTAGTATGGAAAACATTTTCCTCCATTATCTGCCCCTAAAAAAGATGTCTAATAAACTGTATAAACCTGAATTTTTCAATTTATACACTTAGCAGATAAGAGCATCTGATCACTATGTAACAACTTAAGTTGTTATTTTCTTTTCTCTTGCTTTTTCCATTGATTTGAGCAGCCTTATCTTTATCAAACATACTTGAATTTGTTCTGGGATATCTATTTTATTATAAGCAGAGGGCTCACTTTCTGCAAAGATCTGGAAAGCCTTAAAAGTAAACTATAGCTTGGAAACTAACCTAGAACCATCTTCCATCTCTGTTTTTTTTTTCCCCTTGGTGGTAATGGGGTTTGAACTCAGGGCCTCATGCTTGCTAGGCAGGCACTCTACCACTTGAGCCACTCCACCAGCCTGCATCTTCCATCTCATAAGGTGATTATATCCAAACAAGATATGAGCTACATCAGTAGTTCCTTTTTGAAAAGAGAACTTAATATAAAAATAGTCCTGGGTTTATTTTCATGCTTCCCACTATCTTTCTCTGCAATGCTCCCTTTTTCTTTAAAGCAACTTAAAAAATCAGTTTGAATTTTAAGAGAACTCTGAACCTGCCTTAGGGTTGAACTTCTCAAACCACCATCAAAACAACTATCACCATCCCCAAGTAAAGCTGTCCATTCCTAATTCTTACAAATTGGGTACAAGGTGCTTCTGTAACTTGATTTCTTTTTTTAAATGTGTACCTCTGAAGTGAACTCTGCGTACTTAATCAAGGACCACCACACTTATCAATTACTAAACATTTAAAATATATTTCTAAACAGAATGGGCCGACTCAAGTCACAGTAAATGCTGATCTCCAGAGCAGAGCAACCCACAAAGACACAGCACTGATTTTTTTTTTTTCCCATAATCAGGGGTGAAAAATATACAACTTGTTTCTGAACCAAAACCACAATTTCTGCAGTTTAAGACATTTCACTGCTAATATGGCCCTGGTAGAAATTATGTAATTTTTTTTCCCTTAAAAAAAAATTTAAAAAATTTCCTAAGACACTAAATTATCAATCTGGAATGTAGAGTCTGAGCACAAAGCAGCTCAGTTCATCTAAAAAATAAAGAAAAAACTCCCATCACCTGTCTCAGTAGGGCCTGAAAGGAGAGAAGTAGTGTGGGGAACCCCTGCTTTGGTATGGAGATTCACGGCCCCTTGACCCAGACCGAGACCGTGAGTAGCCATAGCTGGTGCTTCTCTCAGGATAAACTCGAATGTAGGAAGTTTCACCCTGAAATTCGAAGAGCAAAGGAAAAAAAAAAAAGTGAGCCAAAAGAACAAGCAATCTAACATCTAACCTGGCTGCCTAACAATAATTAAGTCCTGAACACATACTGTGTACCTGGCACTGTTATCTCATTAAACCCTCACCATGTCAGAGGTAGGTACTCTTATTATCCCATGTCAAATAAGATATTAAGTTTACATTATTTACTCAAGGTGACACAAATAACAGACAGCAACTTTACAGGTTACATGGGCATCTATGGGAGAAGCTAACCCAGGTTCTGGGCAGATGTTACACAGTTATCCTCACGGGTGAGTTTCCTGGCAGGTCTTTGTAACCATGCTATTCCGTGACCATTTTACATATGAACAATTCCAGGTTTAGAGCAACAGTTCAGCTAAGAATAACTAGCAGCAGAATCATATCCAGGCTGGCCTGTCTTCAGCCCCTCTGTACCCCAGTCAGCATTCTCAAAAGACTGCAAAGATGCAAAGGTAAATCTGAGTGTGGTGGTACCACCTATGTGAGAAATGTCAAGAGGGTAATCAAGATATAGATCTCAAGCTTAAACTTGAGATCCTATTCTAAAATTGTTTGAGAGGTGGCCCAAACAATGTATACACCTGTGAGTAAGTAAAAATATAAATAAATAAAAATAACAAGCTAAAAGGGCTTAGGGGTGTGACTCAAGTAGTAGGGAGGCAAAAGGCCCCGAGTTCAAACCCCAGTACTGTGCACACACACAAAAGATGCAAAGATAACTCTGGTGGCTCACACCTGTAGTCCTAGCTACTCAGAAGGCAGAGATCAGGAGGAATGCAGTTTGAAACTAGCCAGCCTGGGCAAATAGTTCATGAGACCCTATCTCGAAAATACCTAACACAAAAAGGGCTGGTGGAGTGGGTCAAGGTGTAGGCCTTGTGTTCAAGCCCCGGTATCACACACACACCCCTCCCAAAAAAACAAAAGATTAAAGAAGCCAAATGCGTATGAAAGTCAGTCACTGGATTTACCCTTACTGAGGCCCTGCTCTGTAGTATACTGAGGACCAGGTACTGTTCTGTTTCTGCTCCAAATTCAACTCCTAGAGGACTGTTGGAGGACTGATCTCCAAACCACAAAACTAGAGAATTAAATGAATCCTCCTAAAAAGAAAGGACCCCAGAGATATGTGTCCCTTGGAGATCCCTGAACACCATACCAACTCAGGCAAATAATTAGAAGAAACAATGTCTTAATTGGTGGTCTGCTATCTGGTCTCGATGATACCAGAGATGGTCACCACTTGAATCAGACTGAGTGACCCAAAGTAGCAAGTGTCTTGCCAAAAGGAAAGACATCTAGAACTGAGTTTCAAGGGTGAGACAACCAACTACAAGATGCTGTCTTGGTGCCTCAGGTTTCAAAGAGAAGCCTGTACTATGCTGAAAGAGGAAACATGAAGTGATAGTATCAGCCCTGACCTAGAAGAGACAGGTTGGCCTGTACAGCCCAGACTAGACTTAAGAGAACAGACAGGCATAGAGACATTGCTGTTTAAACCAGCTGTATCACAGAATAACTCACCATATTATGGCAGACTGCACCAGTACTTTCTCTAGATTAAAAATATTCTGAATGCACACTTCTCTTTGCCAGTGACCCCACAGGCTTAGCCATGGCAAATTCCTTGACTTTGTTTACTTAAGATCTTTAATAGTATTATCAGTTCACCAAAGAGCTACTGCTAGGTTAGATTCAGGTGGAACAACCATAGAACAGCTCAACAGAAGGTAGGGACCCACCTCGTGAGAGCGGAATTTGGTGTCATCCAGTTTACGCAGGGCATATTCCATGTCTTCTTTTCTGAGATATTCAACCATCCCCATTCCATCTTTCTGTACATCTGCATAACAGACATCCCCAGCTTCTCGCATGTGATCTTTCAGGTCTTGCCAGCTGCCTGATGGAGGAAGTCCTAGACACAGAGGACACAAGAGCCAACATCCTTTAGCCATGTTAACTATCCGGTTAGCCAGCAATACCCATGGTCTCTTCCCTGTCAATCATTTAATTTCCAAGGGTCCCCAAATCACAAAACTTTGTAAGGGGCACAAATTACAGGGGGTTGGGGAGGACCACCTGAAGTATGTGTGGTAAACTACCTTGAGAAACTAGTTCTAAGCTAATCTTCCAGAGACTAAACCTTCCCAGAAAAGCATCCTGTTATTGGTTTAGTTACCGAATTCACAGCCTTTTTTTGTCCTTCATAATCGATGCCAAACTACCAAAACTGAGTTTCAATTGTTTTTCCATTATGAAATTTATCAGTACCAATTATTTCTTGCCTGACCAAGTTTCCCAGCACATGGGAGTTTTGAAACAAGCCAATGAATCACCAAAATGTGGCTGAAGGTAACAGCACAAAAACCACTTACAGTTTGTGTTCTTATAGGAATGAATGACTAACAGATCAAAGTACCTCTTAAGAGATCACCAACATTCTTCACTACAGTGGGGGAAAGAGAACTCAGACGCTAAAACTAGTCGGGAGTCATACAACCCTACCTGATGTCATGCAAGGGAAATGTGCTCCTGCTCTCAAAGGCTGTGTTTACCGCTCACAGCTCAGGACTGCAGCCATTTCCTAATAGTTTTCTAAGCAGCATTTCAGAGCAGCATGGAGAGAAAAAAAGATAACGTATGACATCCTGAAGGAGGGAATAGAGTTCTAGGGTTAAAAACTTACAAAGGGACACAGATAGGCAAATACTGAGTATTACTCTTAAGCACACAGGAATTTGCTGTGGTTGTAGGACATTCACATCTTAAAAAGGTGCCAGATTCAATATATTCCACTCTATAGGGCACCCAAATTCCTCTGCAATTGCAGGAGGCCCAGGTCTTTACTGTATTAATATTTAATAAACCTGAGTTAGCATTTCATCACTTATTGACATCAGACAGAAAGGTTCTATACTTTCCAATATAACCCCAAATTCCAAGTTGAGGGCTTTTTTTTTTTTTTTTAACATAATTCCAAAATCACCACAAAATCTGGTCTTTATCAGGCTCCAAGGCTGTTAGAATCTGACTCCTATAATGTCTTCCTATTAAGTCAGATAACAGGCGCATTGCAAAATAAAACAACCTTAGAATTCCAGCTCAGAGTTTTGCCATCATGTTTCCTTTCACCAGTAAGAAACCCCGTTGTAAGGGTGACCCTTACAAAGGCTGTTCTACCAAGGCTGGCTTTTATTTGCAGGGTACCTACCTCACTGATAAGGGACGGTGGTGTTTTAAGACTGTCACTGCACACAGGCTATTGAAAAGAAAGCTCATGTATCCCTTGCACTGAAGAATAACCGCTAACATTCCTTGGAGGTCAGTCTGGGCTAAACAGTTTACATGCAACATCTCATTCAATGTGAGAGGAACATACCTGAAACAAGGACTCGGAAATCAGATCTTCTTGTAGGAGGCCCATTCCTTGCACCTCGGGGCCACCCACCCCGACCTCCATAAGTCCTGGGGAACTCCACCCGAAGCCGACACTGGCCATAATCATAACCATTTCTTCCATAAATTGCATCCTCAGCATCTCTGCAAAGAAAAATCTGAAGTCAGTGGTGCCCAGGAAGCTGAATGATTTTCTAGTGAAGGACATGAATAATTAAAAGGGAAACTCCAGAGTGAGGGAAAAACAAAACAAAGCAGGACCTTAATATACTACTTTGAAGACTTTTCATGGTACTGAATTAAACTTTATAGCTGTCACACATCCTTTTCTAGCTATGAAATGACATGGATAAGTAAACAGATTACTTATAAGAGGGCTGATTCAGAGAAAAAAATTGTTTACATTGATTTTGCCAATAAACCCAGTTTCTCTAACCATGGTTAGAAGTTTCTCAAAATGCATACCATACATTAAGCCCCTTAATACTCTTCTGCAAGGCCTACTACCACAAAGCCTATGAAAAGAAAAACCCATTAAAAAAGGTTCAAAAGAAAGCTGAGTGCTGTGGTGCATGCCTGTAACCTCAGCACTAGATAGGTTGAATGAGGACTGTGAGTTTGAGGCTAGCCTGTGCTACACAGCAAAATACAAAACAAAATAAAACAAAAGCAAAAACAAAGAAAGGTTCACACAATAATCATAGCTACTTGGGAGGCTAAGATCAAGAGGATGGAGGTCCAAGACCAGCCTGGGCAAGTAGTTTGAGAGACCCCATCTCCAAAATTACCAGAGTAAAATGGACTGGAGGTGTGGCTCAAATGGTACCTGAGTTCAAACTCCAGTCCCCACAAAAAAAAAAAAAAAAAAAACCTTAACAAGGAGAGCACATCCAGGACAACCCTGACAGTCTGACTGGACTGGAATTATAATGCTGTATAGGTGGATTAATTAGAAGCACTAGGGCTTAAGAGCTGACTTTGAATACAAACGGACTTGAGTTCAAATCATTCTTCTGCTACTTTAATCAAAGTTTTACATCATGAATGTGCAAAGATGCTTTTTTGAAACTTCACATGGTAATAATCAGAATACAGTTTTTCTATTATGAAAGGACCAAGAAACCATGAAGTAACATGTTATACAGTAACTATGTATTTCAAGGGCAGAACAGGGGGTTCAAATCTTATCTCTCTCCAAATCCTCATTTCCTCTACCTCATAGATTGCTGAAAATACTAAATACACAGATGGTACTTCACATTAACAACTGTTCAAAATACACAGTGGCCCGGTTAACTAATTGATAAGAGGCACAGACTTCTCCCAGCTAGGTGTAAAAATGCCCAGTTCTACTGCTGAGGCAAATGACAAGACCCTAGGCACGGCCCGGGCAGGCAGGACACTGCGGGCCTTGCTGGTGGGGTGGTGGTGAGTTGCCGCTTTCCCCCACACGATGCTAGGAACAAGGAGCAGGTCCCGTTCACCCCAGTGCCCGGACCAGGGCGTGCAGCAACTTCTAGGAAGCACCAACCGCAGTTTGGAAAGTTCCTGGGCCCTTTCCGGTCTGAGGACCAACCAACAATGTTTGCAAAATCAAAGACCCCTTTTGAGCAAGCTTGGGGATCTAGCGTTTCCACAGTTTCCACTTCAGCATCTAGCAAGCTCTCCCTCAACAGAGGGACAAAACTCAAGAGACTGCCCCTGTCCCCGAACCCCGCTCTTCTGCAAGGATGGAGCTCTAGGCGCGGCCTTGGGAGGGGCGCGCGCGTGGGGATGGGCTCCATCACAGAAACCCCTTCACGACCTCCAGAGGCATCCACGACCCGGCCACTGCTCCCGGCTAACGGCGACTTCTGGTCGCGGATTCCTCTCCGGGGCTGGCGGGCCCGAGGTTTTCCAGCCCCGGGCCGCTTCCCCCAAGCGCCAGGGACACAGTGCAGATTTCCACCGTCCCCGAGGCCAGCTGGGGCGGCTCGGACCCTTCGGAGCCCAGACTTCGTCTTTTTAAGTAAAATAATAATAAAGGAAGTGACGACGGCGCCGAGGGCCGCCCGAAGTCTGCGACAAGAAGACGCCGCCTCTTCCACCCGGGGGCGCCGCGAGGGGGTCTGCGCTGAGGGGGAGGGGAGGCCGGAGGGGGAGGGGCGGGGGAACCCAGGCGCTCGGGCCTGCGGGACGGGGCGACCCGCCAGGGCCTCACCGGGGATCCTCGAAGCGCACGAAGGCGAAGGGCACGAGGCCGTGCCGGTTCTTGAGCTCGATCTCGCGGATGCGGCCGTACTTGTAGAACAGGTCCTCCAGGTCCTTCTCGCGCACGTCTGTCGGAAGGTTCCCCACGTAGATGCGCCCGTCGCCCTCGCCGCCGCGCTCGTCCGCCCAGCCCGACATCCGCACCGCCCGACGCCGCGGGCCCGCCGCAGCCCACGTCGCGTCGCCGCCGCCTCAGCCCGGGTTCCCCCGCAGCGTCCCCGCGGGCTCCGAGGCGCTCAGCCGCACTGCATTGTGGGAGCGCGGAGCGGAAGCGAAAGGGTCGGAGGAGGCTAAAGGAATCTTCTTAAAGGGCACGCAGCCTCGATAACTGCGCGTGCGCACGGACCGACGTCCCCTGGAGGTTCAGGCGGGCGGGGATGGCGGTGAGGGATGGCTGTTAGCATTGAATTCCTGAGCCCCGCTGGCTTGCGGCCTGTGTGGTTTGGGTGAGTGCCTTGGGCTCCCTGAGTCTGGGGTCTCCCTCTGTAGCGCCGCCTTCCACACAGGCCTTTGTGAGCTCTCGCCGAGGTGACGCGGGTAGCTCGGGGGTCGGCGCGCGGCTGTCACTCTGCGTGCCGGGCGCGGGAGGGAAGGAGGCAGACCCGGCCGCAGGCCCACCCTGCAGCGGCCCGAACGAGTCCCCGGCGCTGGGCAGTCGCGGCCCTCAGCCTCAGGTCAGTAGCCCTCTGGGCCAGCCCGCCCCGACTTTGCCGTTGCTCAGACCTGCCGGTGCACGCCTGAGGCGGTCTCCGGAGCTTGGACTCGGAATTGATGGGAGATGAGCGTGTAAAAGACCATGAGAACAATCGCCATACTCAGTGTACGTGAGGTTGGGGATTCGAGCTTTTAATCCTCACCCCCATGTAATATGGAGGGACACCCAGGTTATAGGGGAGAGAACTCCCTTCTCAGAGCGGGCTCAGGTTTAGAACCCTCAGTTGGGCCCCATGCTGAGTGCCGAGTCCAGGACGTCAGCTGGACTTCCCCCTCGACACTTTTCCCCATTTACGTCCTCTCATGCAGCGCACTGAACAGTGAGGACTTGCTTGCATCGGGAGAGTCTTAATCTAGGGCTGGGGGCATGGCTCCAGTGGTAGAACACCTGCTGGCAAACCCCAGTGCTGAGAGAAGAGAGGAGAGGAGAGAAGGACTTCCCCTAAAGAGTCTTCACATTAAAAATGAAACCTCGATGGACTGATGGTTGGATAAAGCAAATAAACCGGAGTGTTAATGATGGACTCTAGGCAGTGGCTGTGCAGGTGTTTACCATATTATGCTTTCAGCCTTTCTGTATATTTGAAAAGTTTTCATACTAAAACGTTGGGGATGGGGAAGCAGGCGTGGTATTTTGTAATTTTAGCACTCTGGAGGCTGAGGCAGGAGGATTACAAGTCGAAGGCTAGCCTGGCCTCTATAATGGGACCCCTTTTCCAAAAACAAAAGTTGTGGGGGCAGAGTAAATTTTTTTTTTTCGGTAATCGTATTTGAACGCAGTACTTACACCTTGAGCCACTCCACTAGCCCCTATTTTGTGTTGAATTTTTTTTTGAGATAGGGTCTCAAAACTATTTGCCTAGGGCTGGCTTCGAACCAGTGATCGTATTGAATAGCTAGGAATACAGGTGTGAGCCACCAAGGCCCACCGGAGCCACCGGGGAGAGTGAACATTTTAACAAAATTCCAGGGCTCAGTGGTAGAGCGCTTGCTTAGCATGGGTAAGGTCCTGGGGTTTGATCCACAGCACTGCAAAATAACAAAAGAAGCAAAGCAAAAACAGGTGGGGACATGGCTCAAGTGGAGCAAAGTGCTGAGTTCAAATCCCAGTACCAGCAACAAAAAACCCCAAACAACAAAACACACAAACACAATTTAATTATTGTTAACAATAGCAAGAGACTAAAACCAAACATTTAATTCAGAAGATAGTTAATTAGTTGATTTATGAGCCTTTTAAAATCAAAACAAAAAATTAGGCAGCCACAAATAACTAGAGTATATAACTTTTCAGAAGGCAAATTGGTAGTATACATCCAGCCCCTGATAATGTATGTATAATTTTGCTTATAGTATCTTATCAGAAAAGAAATCCTTATGTGGGATCCTAATTGTGTCGTGTGCAATTAAAAAAATTAAACTCCTGACACAATAACATTAGATGCTACACAATTATTAAGTCATGTCTTTAATATTAAGGTCACACTAATTTGGCCATAATTAAAGTGACTTAAAATGGTATTTAATATACACACATATAAGTATATATTCTGAAGGGATCCTATTAAGCTTGTTGCACTGATTGTCTGCAAAGAATGCAGCCATAATGGAAACTTTCCATATTAAATGTCATACATGTCTCTGGAATTGAAAATTATTACTGCAACTATATTTTATTTTAATATACTAAAAAAAAATAAAGCAAAAGGAGAAAATACACAAAAATTTATATAATACCCCAGTTCTAATACTATATTTATGCATGCACACAGCTATGTATATAAAATCATTGCTTGTACCAAAAACATTAAAAAAAAAATCTTCCAAAAGTTCATAGTGATATCTTATTTTTCTTTTATTTATATTTCTTCTTTTGTGTGTGTGGAGATATTTCTTAATGGCAATGACTTCTCTGTAACTTTTTTTGTATTTATCAAATTGTAATTAGTCTGTACTACTTTTATAATTAGAATACAATACAATAAATTATCTCTAAAGTAAACAATCAGATTTCGTGTTGTTTCTGGATTATGTAATGCTTCTGGCTGCTCTCTGGTGGACTTCAGAAGGCAAATAGGAAAGATCCCTGGCCAAATAGGATCTTGAGTCTAAGTATGCAGTCTTATAGATGCTTATATATCTTAAAAGCATTCCACAGTCCAGAAATCCAGATTGCCTCCTCATTTGGGGGTGGGGAGTGCCTAGGTGTAATAATCCATTCTCTCTATCCTGTCATCTCCATCATTCCTATGTGATTGTTGTCTGGAGAGATTTTTTTTTTTTTCTTCTCCAAGTATCAAGTTCCCTAAATGAGTCAGAATTTGTATTTGACAAAGATTTCTTTTTTTTTTTTTTTTTAAGTTGGGAAAGTTGGGCACCAGTGGCTCAGCTGTAATCCTAACTACTCAGGAGACAGAGATCAGGAGATTCCAGGTTTCAAAGCCAGCCCTGGCAAATAGTTCTCGAGAACCTATCTTGAAAAAAACCCATCACAAAAAAGGTCTGGTGGAGTGGTTCAAGGTGTAGGCCTTGAGTTCAAAGCCTAATACCACAAAAATAAATAAATAAATAAGATGCTGTTGGAAACAGCTGGGCAGTCTCCTAAAGACAGAGAAGTAGAGTCAGCTAAGGACTCCAAATGGAGGACTGCTTTCAAGAAGTAATAGTTGAGCTTGCATTGCAAAGTCCTGTAACATGCAATTCCCAAAAGGGTATAGTTATTTAACATAGCTGTGCCCAGATGTTGGGCAGAGATAAGTACAGCCGGCATGGATTAGAAGGAGCACAGCTAAATTGTCGGAGGTGGTTTTCACCAGCCATCGAAACCCAAAGGTGGAGTGAATTCACAGGAGTGAATATAGATACTGACCTTTACAGGTTAGAACATAAATAACACCAAAATTATGCCTTCATGCTCAAAAGTGCTCATTGGCTCCACGCTGCTTAAGGCCACAGATTCTAGACAGGGATACCCTTTTGAGCTTTTGTTCATCTAGCTATTTGATAACTTTGAATGCAAACTATAATTAGGCCCTGTTTGAGGTCCAGGCCATGCAGTAATAAAACTAATAAAACTGTCCTCAAGTTGTATGTACAAGTTGCTATTCTATCATGTAGAGCACAATTTTGATAAGGATAAACTGCTTGAGACCACATTGGAGGACCACCTACCAGTCTTAGAGATCCTAAATTAGGCTTCCAGGAGGAGATGTTTTGGTTGAATTCTGGAGGACTTGTAGGAGTTAATCGGGGAAGAAAAGAAAGGCATTTCAGAGCGATCACTCAGAAGACAACATAGCAGGCTAGGGGAAATCCCTATGGCTCTATACTATGGCTGGAGCCAGGAGTTCAAGTGGGGAGGAGGGAGAGAAGGTGTTGAGATTGGGGTTTGCAAGACCTAGCAGACCATACTGTGGAATTCAGACCTTGCCTAGGGCAATGAATAGGCACTTAAGGAGTTCTGGTGGGATGAGACTTCCTTAGTGGGGAATGTCAGTGTGGGGACTGGGAGAAATAGAGTAGGGGAGGAGACTGAGAGCATTTGACCAGAGGGTCTCAGCTGCAGGATAGTAGAGGAAGGGAATGGAAGAAGAGATGTGACTGTAGCTGCTGTTATGGGGAAATCTGGGGAAAATGGGGGACAGTATAGGAAGGATCACTGTGTATTTGCAGTGTAAAAGCCTCCCTGTGACTGCATAGATTCTTTTTTTTTTTAAGTCTACATTACCCATGAGTTATTTGGAAGTTGAATTGTCAGGAGTGTGCCAATGTGCTCAGATTAATTAAAAGGTATGTACAGGATAGGTCGGGAATAACCCCAGTGGCCCATTGATTAGTAGGCTCCTGGGGAAGTAATATGGTGGAGTGGAAGACATGGGAGTGGTTACAGGGAGAACTTGGCAGTTGCCTAAGCAAGATTCTTATAGCCTGATGTAAGGTGATAGAGATGGAGAGATACTAAGGAGATAAAAGATCTTGAAGAGAGGAAATCCCAGGACTTGGAGATGGATTGGGCATGAGGGCTGAGCAAGAACTCCAAGTTCATTATTGGGTTCCTGGCTTGGGGAACTGGTTAGGCAGTGATAGCATTGTAAGACAGAGACTAAAGCAGAAGGAATTAATCTCCAGGGGAAAGAGCCTGATCTGCAGTGGATGGATGATGACGAGTTCAAGTGTGAGTGGAGGACACGAGGAAGGATAAGAGACACAATGGCACTAGGCTGTATGTGCCCTCTTTACTGAAAACAGAACTCAAGATGCGTGACCTAATAACATTGGGCACATATTCCTCAGATACCTGGCACAGGACTTCTCTTGATACAGGGAGAAGCTATCATTTAAAATATATAGAAACTTAATAAATATTCATGATTCCTAATTTGATAATAAGAAAGGTACAATGAGGCCTTGGTGTCTCATACCTGTAATTGATTGGGAGAATCTCGGTTCAAGATCCACTTCTAGGGAAGTGTAAATAGAGGTATGATGGTTCAGGCTAGCCTGGGCATAGATGCAAGACCCAATTCGAAAAACAACTAAAGCAAAAAGGGGAGAGCATGGCTCAAGTGGTAGAGCGCCTGCCAAGCAAGCACAAAGTCCTGACTTCAAACCCTAGTACTGCCAAAAAAAAAAAAAAAAAGCCAGGCACCAGTGACTCATGCCTGTAATTCTAGCTATTTGGGATGCTGAGATCTGGACAATTGCTGCTTAAGGACAACCCAGGCAAATAGTTCGAAAGACCCGATCTCCAAAATAACTAGAGCAAAATGGACTGGAGGTGTGGTACAAGTGGTGCAGCAACTGCTTTGCAAGTGAGAAGCCTTGAGTTCAAACCCCAGTTCCACCAAAAAAAAAAAAAAAAAAAGTACCAATGAGCCAGGCCTGGTGATACACACCAGTATCCCAGCATTTAGGAGACTGAGGCAGGAGAATCTCCAGTTTGAGGCTAGCCTGGCCTATA